TGTGTGTGTGTGTGTGTGTGTGTGTGTGTGTGTGTGTGTGTGTGTGTATTTGTGGGTGTCTGCAGGTTTTAATCTTCTCCTCCTCTCTGAAACACTTCTTTTTTTCCTGAGTGATCTCACTGCCGCCTCTTTTTTCTTCGCACGCTTCTCTGAATCTGTTTCGAACAATTCCTCTCACCTGTGGTTCCGTTTCTTGCTCTTCCTCACGGGCTTTGTTGTGGTTTATCCTCCCTGGTGTCCCACTGTCTTTCACTCTCTCTTCATCTCTTTATTTTTTCACCCTCTTGTTCCTCCCCGTCGCTGCGTTGTAGGAGAGTGCCGCTCTGGCAGACAGGCTGATACAGGTAGAGTACTGCGAACCACTTTCCCACTGACCTCACTGTCCTCCGACCTACTCACGTCTTCCTTCTCCTCCTCCTCCTCTTCCTCTTCCTGCTCTCCTGCACTGCTTCTCTCCCTCCTCTTAACATCTACCTGCCAAAAGTGCATGAAGGAATATTGTTGAATATCTTCAGTCCACAAGACGGTCCTGTAAGCCCTGACTGCATGTAATGTTTATCCATGATGGAGATCCTAATACGGTCTAATGAGGTTGTATAATCCCTGCATGTGGCATGTAAAGGGTTATAACTATTACTACTATTATTGCTACTCATTTTCTTTTAAAATACACCTCATCAAAATGTGAATGAAATGTATGTAGTTTTGGGAAATGCACTTATTAGCTTTCTTGCCGAGAGTTAGATACAGTAAGTAGTCTCTCGTGTCTGTACACTAAATATGAAGCTACCATCAGGCGGAGGTTAGCTTAGCATAAAGACTGGAAACAAGGACAAACGGTTAGCTTGGCTCTGTCCAAACGACGCATTGTGGGTTCAAACAAAAGAGATGTCACATGTTGTTAGTGGGCTGTTGGCAGATTTTTTTTTTTACCCTTGTACAAAGCCAGGCTAGCTGTTTCCCCCTGTTTCCAGTCTTTATGCTAAGCGATGCTAACTAGCTGCTAGCTGTAGATTTGTATTTAATGGACAACTATGAGAGAGGTCTCAATCTTCTCAGGAAGGCAAATAAGCACATTTCCCCAAATCTCCAACCTTTAGGGCTGTATCTGCTATGCATCATGCAGCACCTTAAGCGTGATAACGTTCCCTAGATGCCCAGAATGACCCTTTTCCCTACATTGGTATACAGTCTGCGTTTCGGAGTTTAAACTCCACAACTGATCTCGACCCTCTGGCCTGCTGTTCCAGGGTCAGGTGACGAGGGCGCAGGAAGCAGAGGAGAACTACGTGATCAAGCGGGAGCTGGCGGTGGTGAGGCAGCAGTGCAACACAGCCAGCGAGAGCCTGGAGAAAGCGCAGGACACCATCAGAGAGCTGCAGCAACAGAAGGTAAACGCCAACCCACAGTCTGTGCACAAACACTGTGGGAGCAACAGAAAAGGACGGTTCCAACACAGAGACGATGACGGCAGGCGAAATGTCATTTTCCCTCACATATGTCCAACAATGGATTCCTGTAGTTTCTCTCTAGGCGGAAGCAGTTCATCAGCATTTCTTTATTTGGTGATGGTTAATGAGGTCAACTGGTAGTTAAATGATTCCAAAAGCAGCCCTGCTTTGTGTACAAAATGTTAAATGTTCCCAATTCAGCTAAAACCAGGTTGTAAAAAAAGACGTGCTGATCAGGGGGAAACAGCTCTGTTTCCCCCTGATAGGTCTGCCTGTGCAAGTTTATTTTACAGCCACAGAATGTATACAAGAAGTGGAGGTAGTCACTGTGACGTCACCCATTGGTTTGTGGACTGCCGTTTTAAAGCCTCGGGTACGGGATTATTTTTGCAAAGAGAAGTAAAACCAGAGTTGGTTGGAGCTAAGTACAACCGAATGCTAAATAAGATTTTTTTAGGCGACCAAAAATGTTACAATTAACTTTCATGAAGTTAAAACACTCTGTGAAAGGGTTGAAGTTGTAAGATGAAAACATGGACAACTCTCAGACCGGAAAACGCTGTGGTAGCGTCCTGTCAATCACAAGGTGATAAAATGTATTGTCATCTCTCATGGTTTTAGTAGAAGTAGTTTCAAAGTGATTTACAGAAGAAGAAAATAAGAATGAGAAAATAAAGATGATAAAAACATGGACTCAAACTGCACAAACCACAAATTATTTTCACATCAAGAAAATGTCAGGGAAAAGAGGATTGCCATAGAAAATGTATATTTTAGTGTCATGAAGGCAGCTATGATACAAAAAATGGAAAGTTACTGGTACTTGCTGTCCGTATACTTTTCCCAACGACACAAGAGTTGATTGGAGGGTTATTCAGATCACCTGTTGTGCAGGGTGTGTGGACCTACTCCTAATTAAGAATTGACAGCAGCTTGGTGCATTTCTCCTCTCAGCCAATCAGGGTGTGCCAACGCCCGATCTTTAGGGCTTAAGAGAGGTGGGGAATTGAACACTCTGGGCATTTTGATCCTTCCTTGATGTAATGCAGAACTCATTCCAGCATATCCAGCCACAGTCTTTTAGGCCCTTTTGAGACTTCTTTGCTCTGTTAAGGGTCTGAAACCAGTTTTTAAACAAATCAAAACAACCCTGTTTACCAGCCAGCATTCTTTTTTGTCTTCCTTTCAAATTTTTTAGGGCACTGCTAGGTATGGTGGTGCATCATCACCACCTGCAGATCCATAGAAACCCAAAAAACGGGGACATAAAAAAACTCAAATAAAATCATTGGTCGTAGCGCTACTAGAATTTAGTTTGAATTGTTCCTATAGTAACTGATAGTGTAAGCTTAGCTACATTCTGCTTTCATTGTCTTATATTTTACAAACTCTGTGCTTCCTCCACATTAGTCAACCAACCGCTCTGTCACTTTCAAGCACACCCAAAAAAAGGTCTATAAGTTCAGTCAGCACTTCAATCTCATACAACCAGTGCAACCTCAAACAATGTGAAACTTGCAGCAGTCTGAATACATATGGACTGCACTCTGTATGACCTGATGAAGACCTAAAAGGTTGAAATCATACTTTAATAAATACTTGATCACCAATTTATTACCTTATCGGTTGGAATGTAATGAAGTACTGTACTTAAGTAACAGTTTGAGGTATATTGCCCTATTTACTCCACTATCGTTATTTAACAGCTGGAGTTTCGGATTGCTTTACGTTACAAAATATTTTATATTCGGAACATAAATGCATTTATAAAATTGGATCCTTTGTTTAAGTTAAACTACTCAACAGTATGTAATATTGTTAAAAGCTCCACTTCAACAGTAAAATTGTACTCGTATATGAATGCATTTCTATGCATTGAGTACTTTAAATTTCTACTGAATTGATACTTCAAGTACATTTTGCAAAAAATACTTTAACTTGTAGTGTATTATTTTTCCATTGTAGTACAGTTACTTTTTAAAGAATTTGAAAATTCTCTCCATTACTTGACTTTGAAACATTTTTATCTTCCCAGGAGACCGAGTAATCATCTGTGTGTGTGTGTGTGTGTGTGTGTGTGTGTGTGTGTATGATGTGTGGTGCTACTGTATATGATGATGCTGTTGGAGGACATATTAAATGGGAATATGAGACCACATCTTTTCTCATGTGTGAAGAGCACAAAGCGGCTTCTGTTCAGTTATTTTTCACGAATACTGATGAATGATACAATATGTTAATGATACAAAAGAGTTTCAAAATGGCTGTCCTGTTTGTCCAACCAAGGCGGCAACCTCTGCTTCTGAAAAGCGACACAAATGAGGACGGGCCTTACTTGCATTCTCTCTAATGGCCATCAGGGGGCGACTCCTCTGGTTGCAAAAAGTTTTTTTTATACACGAGATCTCGAGCACTGTAGATGATGTCATTGTGACGGGTGATTTTATTCCAGCTCAGACATTCGCATTCATCACCCACCAGAGTTCACACACCTCCAGACACTCACAGTCCTCTTTGATAACCAAGACTGAAACGCACGAAATGACAAATCGAGAGTCTTTTACGCACGCTATGTGCTTGCCATATTTCAAGCTTTTGTATTTTGCCTGGTAGGAAAGTGTTTTTCCACTCAGCCCTCTCTGACTCTCTCGGCTGCTCTCACACCCCTAACTTTGCAGTTTAACTTTGATGTGGTGACATGAAAATGTACAGTAGCTTTCTATTTGCTGACATCACTCTGAGACAGTGGGGAGGCTTCATACCAACTTCTTTTAGTTCATTAGCTATTCTGAAGTTTGGCTACTATGTCAGCTGAGACAGTTTTGAACAGTTTACCATTTTTGACAGAAATGAGGAATAAAGCAATAGCTCTTGTTTGTATCTCTGGCTGCAGCATCAAATGTATTGCGACAAGTTTCCAGCTGCCTTCCCCAAAAACTTTTTCTCCAATGTCATCCCTCAGAGGAAAATGGCAAAGGGCATGCAGGGATCCAGGAGTGCATGACTGTGTGTGAATACGCAATTAGCACCAGCGAAAGAGACAAAAGACAGAGACACAGCAGCAGCTTGTGGCAGAATTCACAAACATTGACGCACTGTGGTTCAAAGCTGAACTCCTACTGTCGTGACTACTCACTCCATCATCTGCAACCAGTCTGCATATGACAATCACACTAAACAAACAAGGCCAGTCGACTCCTCCGTCCAACTAATGTTCCCAGTAGTGAGTAAATATCTGTATGCCGACAAAATCCTGTCACATCACGTAGCTCTTGTAACACCAGCGATGTTTGTTTCAGTACACGGAGCAGTTTGTGAACAATCTGCAGACCGAGCTGGAGCAGTCCAGGCTGCGCGAGGCCGAACTGCAGGGAGCGCTGAAGGAAATGCAAGACAAAGTCCTGGACCTGGAGAAGGTGACCTAACCGACACTCATCTTCGTGTGTGTGTGAGAGAGAACAGTGTGTGAAAGACGAGCGGAGACGAGCGGGCGTGTGCAGCTGCGAACGTGTCAAAGATCATCTTGCCGCGACCTTGACTTAAGACGCTCAAGTGTTAAAGTCACTCCAAACAACATCCGATGTGACATTTCAAGCTTTCGGTTTTACTTCACAAGGTGTTGAGACGAAACAGCTCTGCTTCCTCCTGATAAAGATTTTACTGTAACGTAAAGCTGACAGATAGAAAAAGGGAAATAGGCCTCTGGCATTGTTCGCTTCTACATTTACGATACCCAGAATATGAAACCTACCGACTTTTGTAATCTCCCGACTTTACAACAGGTCGTCATCTGTGGTTTTGAGTAAAATCTTTGGTAAACTTATTGGATGGATTGCCATAAAATTTGATCCAGACATTCATGTCCCCATGTCAGGATGAATTGTAAAAACTGACCCCTTAACAATTCATCTATCGTCATCATTGGGTCAAAATGTTTATTTGTTTAATACTTTGGTTCGTGACCAAATATCTGCACAACTAACGACATTCCGATCGGCCTCAAGTGTACTTTGTTTAGTGCTAATTAGCAAACATTAGCATGCTAATGAGCCACAGAGCCGTTGGTATGGCTGTAGACTAATTAGTCCTTTTTTAACCTGTAAACATTGTTTTCTAATCCAGAGAAGCACGTGTCTGCCCGATGAGAACAACATAGCGGCTCTGCAGGAGGAGGTGAAGCAGATGAAGCTGAGGGAGCTGGAGACGCTGCGCTCGTTCAAAGAGATGCAGGACGCCGTCACTGAGCTCAACCAGCGCTGGCAGGTAACGCACACACACACACACAAAACTGCTGTCTTTTTGTCCATAAACTATCTGTGTGTGCGTGCGTGCAGTGTCAGGAGAGCTACACACCTGTGCTACTCTCTGTGTTTTCTGCAGCACCACATGTCCCGCGGCAGCAGCACGGGTAGCGGGGGCGGCCACTGGAAGGAGTCCCCGAAGAAGAACGCCATGAACGAGCTGCAGGACAAACTGATGACGGTCCGCCTGAGGGAAGCCCAGGCTCAGGCTGAGCTCCGAGAGGTCAAACTCAAAGCTCTGCAGCTGGAGAGCCAGGTCGGTCTGTCCCAGAGGGCACACAAACCCTGTAACCCTGTCCTTTTCTTACAGGCACAGATATGTGGATGCAAAGGTCAATGCAGATTAATTTGTTGGTGGGCATTTTCCACAATTGTCTTACATCTCAGACTAAATGATTCATTACTGTAATTTATCAGGAACAATCCACAATTTGAATGATGAAAGCAAGACTTTGTTGGAGCCCTCCTCACCCTCCTCCATTTGACTTCCCTGACTCCAGAACCAGATCCACAGCAAGCTGATTGGTCGCAACGACCAGGAACGCTCCGCCCTGCAGGACCGGCTCCAGATGCTGGCCAATCAGAACAAAGCTCTCCAGGCCCAGCTCAACGAGATGAAAAGGAAGCAGGCCGAGTCCGACTGCAAGGTCTGGATGGCGAGGAGAGAGAGAAAGAAAAGGAGTTAGCAGGAGGGGAGAGATGTAACAGGGAGAATGGATGGGGAGAGCATCATTTTCCTGTCCAGCATATTGAATCGTAAAAGATATTTACATACAGTAATAAGACAAAACAGGGAAAAATCATATGAAGAGCATAAAAAGAGGGAGGGAATGACGGAGAGGGAAGGAAAGAAGAAGGGAGGACCAGATAGATTTTGTAGAACAGAAATAGAAAATGTTTCAGGAAAAATGGCAGAGAAATGAGTCTGGCTTTAAATTCTGGGAGTCATATTCAAAAAAGGACGGAGTCTATTAAGAAGGCCTGAAGTAAGAGATGTAGGACAGAGCAGGATGTAGGTGGAGGGAAAGAGACTGTTAAATCCATCACTGAATTCCAACATGTTGTCAACCACATGGCGTCTTCTCTCTCCCCTCATCCATGCAGAGCAAAGAGGAGGTGATGGCGGTGCGACTGAGGGAAGCAGACAGTATGGCTGCCATGGCTGAACTCAGGCAGAAGATTGCTGATCTTGAGATACAGGTGTGTGTGTGTGTGTGCGTGTGCGTGTGCGTGTGTGTGTGTGTGCGCGCGCGCGCGCCGGAAAGGATTGTACGTACCAAAAATGTGTGCTCGTAGTCTGCATGCGGATGATCGATTCAACTACATTGTAACAATAAAGAAATCGTGACTTTAACCATCGGTGTGTAAAATGTGTTTTTGCAGAAGGAGGAAGGGCTGATCCAGGGCCAGCTGAACCACTCAGATTCCAGACAGTACATAAACGAGCTGCGGGACCAGATTTCTGAGCTCAAGAACGAGGTTAGACGCACACACCAAACAGCACCGTTTGCTGGATTTCATTTCATAATGAATTACGCCAAAACATTGTGCCACGTGTAGCTTTTGAAAGATAAATATTACGTCAAAAGGAGCAATTTGGTCTTTCTTGTCTGAAGCTGAAACTGAACGCACTCGGGTTCGCTTGGAAACCGATCGATTGATCCGCACCAGAGTACAATCGAAACAGACAAAATGTTGGCTCGTGAAAGCGGCCTTAACCTCACCTACTAAGTTCTGATTGGTCGGTTGTTTCTCCAACCAGCGCATGCAGCCGCTAAAAGTCACAACAAAAGATGTTTGAATGTTTCAGCTTGGTCTGGAACCAGTGTGTTTGTGCCAGAAAACATTTGCAGATTCTGAAATCTGACCCATTGACGGATGATTTAAAGTGTAGTTCAGAGTCTGCAAATGTTTATTGTTTGCTCCCAGAAACTATTGATATTTCATCTTTGATGTTCTTATGTTATTTATTAGGGTTACAGCAGTATAATGTTGACGATATGATCTTTGTTGACTGGTGTGAGTTCTGCTTCCAAATAGCGTGCAGACATGAGACACACACACACACACAGTGTGAGTAGATACATGTAGCCTTGTCTGCCACCACAGAAGAATCTTGTCATCTACATGCAGCCGCACAACAGACACCACTTCCACCCAAACGGGCCCGCTCAGTTGTGTCAATGTCTTTTTTGTAAAGAGGAGACCACTGCTGTATTCTCATCACTGTGTTCACGGTGAAGATTAATTTACTTAAAAGGGGGCGGGGGGGGGTTGGCTTTTGCAGACTGTAGTTCACCCACTCTGTCGGGTTAAAACATTATGGCAACCGCAACTGTAGTTTTTCTGATTTCCACAGTTTCATGGGTTGATTGAAATTCAATGACCCCTCTGGCTTATGAAGATCCCCCCTGCAAACAAACACTCAGGGTTTGTTCATTTAGAGAGTTGCAGTGCGTGACTAGGAGGGAAGTGTTTAATCTTGTAAGTGAGGGGGCGTGATGAGACTGCCCTGCCCTTTACTGCTCCTCTCTTTTCGTCTGCTCTCCCCACCTTTTTGTTTTTTTTTCTTCTTCAAAGCAGCGTTTTTTAAAATGAGACCGAAACTTGCGTGAGCGCAGCCGAGGAAGCAGTGAACCCTTTAGAGAAATCTCAGTAAAGTCCTCAAAAGAGATCATCTCACGGTTGAGTCAGAATACATGTGATGATGCACGATGACAGATTCCACATAATGCAGATGATTTCACGCCTTATGAAACAACACTGATATGAATTAACCTGCTTATATTGCAAAAACAACCTGGCTTGAAAAAGGACTTGTGTTCCTTCTTTTGCTGTAGCTTGACGAGCAGTCAAAACATTTCCATTGGTTAACCACCGGTTTCCCCTCCCCTCTGCCCTACAGCCAGCCCGAGTGTATGATAGGGGGCGAAGAAAAAACCTCTGAGATTTGTCATGAGTCACTGTGGTACATGTGCAAGGTTAACACGCAGACGGCATGCAGTAGTAGATAAAACTGTGGCGGCAGCTCTTGTGTCAGGCAAGAACAGCCACTGCAGTCTGACAGCTAGACAGCAGCAACCAGCAAACGCACCCTTTTTATTTATCATGTATCAGCTTTAGCTGTAAAGACCCCTCTGCTTTGTTTGCACAACCTCAAATAGTAAGAAGGAGTCAGGTCAGTGGGTTTCACCAACTAGGTTTCTTTTTCACACCCAACAACCTGTTGACAAAAACTCCCAGCACCTGCAAAAGGACTCATCTAACAGATTCAACACATTTTATAGATTACTGAACCACAGTCTTTTATTACCCAAGGATTCCCCTAATGATGCTTAGCAAGTCAGATGAGAGCTGACACACAGATCTCGGTGGAGGGAGTGTACTTTAAAGATGACAAACACAAAGACCAATGGGTTAAGTGCCACAGACGGGTAACGAACACGTTGTTGTTTTTTATTTATGGACAAGAAAAAGACACAATAATGCCTTTTTAAAAATACCACTGAAGTAAAGGCAAAACTTAAAGTAAAGCCTTCCTCTTTGTATTCAGATCAGGCAGCTGCGAGGGCAGAAGGCGGCCCCCAGCTCCAGGCTCGGCAGCGGAGGAGGAAGTACCAACTACCAGGATCTGTGTCTGGCCAGCCCCGCCTCCGCTGAGGGAGACTATCTGAGCTCAGACGAGGACCTCCTCCCCAGCCCGCTGCCTCCAAACGCCCTTTACCCCAGCCTGTCCGGCCCGTGTCACCCGTCTGCCCGCCTCGACAGCGAGGGCAGCACGGACAGTGAGGCAGAGGAGCGGGCTCTGACACATCCGGACCCACAGCAGCTGTACGGCGGCATGGTGTGCGCCGAGGCGCTGGACAACTGAGACCCGGAGAAGGGGGCGTGAGGGTTTCATTGGATTTGTTTGAGCTAAAGAGACGCTGGAGCTCTTCAGGACGGGTCTGCTACTGTAAACTGGGGCTGTATCATCCAATCCAGTCCTCTTCTTTTCCAGTGTTTACCTTTTAACTTGATGCACACATAGCGGCATTGATTGGACCCCTTCTGATCATCACCACTCATGTTGTCTCTCCGCTCCTGTTACCGTCTCCTCCACCTTGTTCCCCCACGCTGTCCCGTCCTGTGTTCCCCGACCAAGAGGTAACGTAAAGCCTCGCTCCTTGTTCCCTCGTGTAACTGCGCCAGAAACCATCCGAACACAAAGATATGACACGCAAACCAAACAAAAAGGACTGACACTGGACCAGCAAGATTCTTGTTGCCTCTCGTTACTCTACATCTACCACGGGACCTGCTCCTGCGACCGTGACATGGAGGGAAACCTGGGTAGACAGAAAATAACTCTCCCTAAAAACTGAGTGACAGACACTTGACACACTGTATGCTCTGTCTACCCTGATACGACTCTCCTTCCTTCAGAGTTAAATATCCTCTCTTTTCCCTTTCTAAGCTCTCATTAGGAAGAAACGCACAAAAAAGAAACGACTTATATCAGCCATCCATTTACCTCTCAGTAGTGTTTAAAAGAAAACAGGAGGTGAGTATGAGAAGAGAAGAGAGGTGCAGTGTAGGAATATGTACCCATCAAACTGTAGGGATATCACAAGATGGCATTCATTATTGTACTTAACATACTAAATATGTGTGACGCCAAGCGAGTTAATGCAACAGTTCATGTTAAAAAAGCATGTTCACCATAACCCAGAGAACGAGGAAGGAATAAACTCGATGTTGCCAAATCTTTTTTTTTTTTTTTTTCTTTTTTTTTCTTATTTATATGTTGTAATTTATTTTGATATTTTTTAATATATTTTATATATCTATATGAAACTATAGGAGTGTAGAGATACCGACAGAGGCCAAACTTTCTACACCGTCCTTTGTGCCAACTAGTCGTCTGTTACAGGTTTATTACTGTGACACCCCCGAGTGTTTCAGAGATGGAAATGTGCTGCTATGATTTTGGATTTACTTCTCCTATTTTTTTTCTTTCTGTTGTTGTTTTTGTTTTTGTTGTAATCTTTGTGAGGTGAACATGCAACCTCCATGTTTGACCTGATTCCTCCCTGGAGGTTCTCAACATTCAGCAAAGATGGGAAACAATGTTCTTCCAAACCGAGCATGATCATTGTTTACGTTCGAGTTAGAGGAACAGTTTGACATTTCAGGACATTCATTTGCTTTCCTGCTGAGAATTACATGAGAAGATCGAGACTTTTCTCCTGTCTGTCTGTTAAATATGAAGCTGAAGCCAGGAGATAGTTAGCGTAGCGTAGCCACGCACAGTGACTTTCTGTGTCAAGTCACAAAAAATCCAGCACGTAAAACGTACACAATTCTTTGAGTAACTGCATTGTAGCCACGAGTGGTATAATGGTACATGCTAAAGTTTCATTAGCACAAGTAGAAAAAAGGATAATAGTCTAATGTCGATTACAACTGCAAATGCAATGCAATTTCTACCTTAGGTTCGCTAAAATTAGCTTAGCATTATAAGCTACTGGGCATACGAGACCAAGTGAGGCTGAAGCAGCTTGTAAAAAAAGTAATGCACTGTTATTTGTATGTAATGTAATTCATTTTAATGTAGTTCACGTAAACGGGAACCAGGACAGGTGACGTGGTATCAAGAGCGAGGAGGTCAGGGTCCATGTCCAAGAAGACCGAACCTTCCGCCCCCCCCCCCCCCCCTGTTCGTGCCCCGTGTGAAAACCAGAAGTCAGCGGTTATTTACTTGACATGTAACTTCTGTACTTTAGCAACGCCAATACCGTGTAGGTACTTTAACCCAAACCACGATCTTTGTTTCCTGTGAAGACCGAAGTTTAGATTGAAAAGACAGTATGCATGTAACGAGCTAAACAAATGAGCTCGTTACATGCTGGACATTTCGTAGGAGAATGTGGGAAAAATGAGGAATGACTTTTCGTAAGATATCATACGAACCGTTGGATGAGGATACGTTCATTCATTATTGCTCAAGATTTAACCTTTGGACGTAGCCAGGCTAGCCGTTTCCCCTCGTTTCCGGTCGTTGTGCTAAGCTAAGAAAACCGTCTCCTGGCAGTAGCTTCGTATTTAACAGACGGACACGAGGGGTGGTGTCAGTCCTCTCAGTGTAGTTCCCAAAATGTCAAACAGTTCCTTTTAATTGTCAGTCCCATACACGCCAAAAGAAACCCAGGTAACGGCGCTGATCTGGAATCCCCAGTTCATGTGTTCATATCACTTTTTGACAGCTAAAACTTGCAGCATGTGGCCCAATGAAAGTGGAGGGAGAGGTTCATATCCTAAGGATGCCAACAGAGAGTGTGTGGGTGGAAAATATTTTACATATCAGACAATAATATATGCTGTGTAGAGAAAAAGAGGGTGTAAAATGTATGACGAGATATGAAATATACAAAGTAACTGGAGCAAAGAGTATATGGATAAGATTTAAAGCTGTATCACTGTCAGTCAAGTCATGCTGAAAGCCGGTGAGTGTGTATAGTTTTATCAAACAGGGTGTCACATGGAGAGCAGCAATCTGCTTTTTGCACTACAGAGAAAGTGTCTGCTCATGACTTTCAGCAGTGAGAGATGGTGTGGATGAATGGATTCGAGGAGGGATCATTTCTTATTATTGTCCGCTCTTCACCTTGAAGTTATCGGAGCTCCAAGATTATCCGTCCCGACTTTGTGATGGGCTTCGTTATTCTACGGACTGATGTTGTAGGACTTTGTCTAAATTCTCTAAAGGCCCAATTTCATTTCTAATGCCGTTGTGCAATACAATCGAAGGAATGGCGAGAAGTATTGCTGTCCTCTGAGAAATAAGGAAATTGGATCTTCCAGCGATGGCCATCGAAGAGCTAAAGAGGATGTTGGTGTGCCCACCATACTGTTGCAAATAACAGCCTTTTAGTGGTCATTGGTGGGTGTAGCAACTGGGATCTCCACACAGTGTTTGGATATTGTCTGACCAAATGAGCGTTGGTTTCAGTTGAGTTCCTTCTAATTCTGCCATTAAGACCATTCTGTCGTATTTATCTATTTGATGCATTTACTTTGCCTTTCTGCGCTGTAGTTCTCATCGTTAACAGAGAGTCTTTCCCTTGAGGGATTCAAAGGATTGACAAGAAAAAGAGTGATGTAATGCGCAAAGGCATCGTCGGACCATGAGTCGGAAAACATTGTTGACTGTGTTCTTTACGGTGCCGGTGGCTTTAACCGTCGCCAGATGCACCACGACTGAAATCTTAAGGATTGTAACTTTTCAGTTTGGATTTCAGTTAAACAATTAAAATGCATAAAGTAAGTAAGAAGGACTGAGCATCCCAAAATGAACCCCAATCTGGATTCCTTCAACAACACATCTGTACACGGTTCCTCAACACATCTGTACACTGCTGTTCAGTGACGGTGCTCTGTTCTCACCACTGGCTAAATACAACGAAATCTACTCTGACGAAACACTTTGATATGTTTTGTAAATTACTTTTGAATATGGTACTAGCTCTCATCATTAACATTATTTTGTTATAATTGCCATCAGTACTTTGGTTCCTCCTGCTAACAGCATTACATGAGATGATAAAGATTAAACATCGTATAACGTGCCATAAAGGTAGGTAGGTTTACACGCTATGCTAAACAACTTCATGCGTGTTTAACGGGGGTTTCAGCGGCGAGTCAGCCACCGCCGCCCGTCATTAAACCAGCCATGTGATGTAAAGTGTGGACTGAACAGATCGCACTGTGTTGCTCCAGATGTATCATCTTCAAATCTTGAAACTGGAACGTCCACGCGTTTCCCCCCAATATGAAAGCGGGAAATAAGACAATGCCGTGCAAAACAGTGTGCGTCACATGTGAGTTCTTCCTGGTTAGTCTGGTGTTTAATTTTTCAGATTCATGTTGCCATTTGTGACGGCTGTTTGATGTCCGCAGCATCGTACCCAGGAACAATGCCCACCCTCTCTCTCTTTCTGTCTTGCAATTCAACTGATGTTATCAAATATATGAAATGACGGTAAAGATTATATAAGTTCCAGTATGATAGGGGGGGGGGGGGGGGAATACATTTCAGTGTTCTGTATCCTAATGAATGATACAAAATAAACTTTGACAATGCACCTTTGAAAAAGCCTGATTGTGGTGTTGTTGGTTATTACTGGGTTGATTATATTCACTCAAATGTTGAACGTTAGCTTAGTGTAACTTGGGTTTTGTTAAGTCTTTCACTAAATTGAGATTTAATCATCACAACATTAAAACAGGTTGCACCACGCAAAGAAGTTGTTAGACCCAATACCTGCCAGGTGTAGCTAATTGTTGCATAGCTCACGGAGCTACCTGACAAAGCTAACGTTAGCTGCTAATACATGTTTGACAATGATGTAAAGTGTAAACACAGTATACCTCAAATTACAAAACGCTATGCTAATAGCAGTTTAGGTTAGCATAATGGGACATTTTCCACTCATTCCAAACTGCATGAATTCTACTGTCTCAGACACATATTTATTGTATTGACCTTATTCTTTGGCCTGAACTGGGGCCGCACTCGCATGGCGTCATTTTGTGTTCTCAGATCAGTTTTAGAAGGCAGTGTGAAAACTTGGCTTCGCATCGTTGTCATCCTTTACTTGAATAGTCTTGTTTCGAACTGTTCCTAACTGAGTGAAATGGAAGTATTAAGTGGCAGCCATGAAAAGAGCCGGTCGAATTCTCTAAATGCTAAGGAAAAAATGTCTCATTGCTTCCTTTATTATCTCCTTCAGCATAGGGTACGCTGCCACCGTCCTTTACAAAGGGAAAGGAGATAATACCTTTGCCTATTCTTGGACTGAAATCATCACTGACCTATCTGCTGTCTTCAGCGTCCATTGTCTGTTGGCACCTGTGTGAAACATCTCTCAATGCCTTCCGACTCCCCTATCCAGCCCATTTGTTTCTACTGAAGTCGTTGACTTTTGAAATAAAATCATAGTTGCATTTGTTATAAAAGGCTCAGTAATTCCCTTAAACAGCCGGCCAATGTAGTTAGCAGCAAACGTTACTCAAACAGGAGCAAATAATGCATTCTCTGAGAACCTTTTTCAGCAGCGGATTGATGCACATTTAGATACCCGTTGAGTATTTTCGGCAGCAGGACATTGTATTTGGGACTCAAAATAAGCTGCTGTGCCCATGTTCATCACACTGAAGGAACTTGTCAGTACAGTGATGTGACTCATGTGTTTTTCACCTCAACACCTTTATTCACATTTCCTCTTGCTGTGTCTCTTTCTCATCACTGTTCGGTTAGTTTTCATGAGCCAACTTCTTTCGAACCCGACCTCGATGGTTATTTTGCAACACAAGTGTTTCAACGTAGTGTGTCAACATTTTCTGAAGAATTTTCAGCAACGTCGCCCACCACCTTCTTCCTCTCTCGCCGGCTTTATCTGTCTTCTCTTGATCAACGTGATGCCGTGGTTAGTTTGTACCACTGCGACACATCCGTCCACAATTTGCACCAAAAGGTTGTTTTTTTAAAAATTGGTTTTAAAAGTAGAACTGGACAGATTTAGTGCTGCTGTGAGTGTGCAGCATTTGGGTTTACGTGTGAGGAAGCAGTGTGGTTGTCGGCTTCAAGGTGTCACAGCTGAAACACTTCCTCGTCCTCTTTAACTCTCATCATCACACCAACCAGCAGAGAACATCGACGGTTTATAATCCACCTCAGTGAACACTGACCTCACATGTGAGACACTGACTTCACTTTGTCTAATAAGACTTTAATCTCAATTGAATTATTGGTGGGAAGTTTGTGACGTTAAGAAGAACTTGTGGGATTTAAAAATCTGGTGAGTATTTGCATATTTATTTCTGAAAACTATCTTCATATTTCAGATTAAATTAAAGTTACAACAGTTTGTTTGTTAATTTTTTTAATTTTCTTTTACATTTAACAACAGAAAAAAACACTTTTGGACTCTGACCATTGTATATTTTTTTTCTTGATCTTAACTTAATGTTTGTCCGATGTTTACTGTCGGACAAACATTAGGCTAAAACAAACTTGAATTATTTCAAAAGATTTTTATGGATTCAGAAGATAATCCCCTTGTTATGTAATTATCTCCATGATGGGGCCATGTGGATCCTTCTCTTAGTTGTTTCAGTTCAGCAAAAAGAAGCAAATATACCTTTTAACAAGGTGATTCAAAATGTAGTTCCAGTCAAGTTATCATTTTTTAATATCAGAGAACATAAACACAATTGTTTTCACGAGCTTTCTCTAACACGGTTCAAGCTCAAAGGAAGCAGTCAAGTGTATTTATATATATATACGTATATATATACGTATATGTGTATATGTATATGTGTGTACAAACAAAATTTTGTGGGGACTTGACTTGGGAACCATAGTCCACTGCTTCCAGGGCACTGCTCATTGGTGTGTCTGTGTATTTCAGGCCTATGTATGTATATTACACATTATAATGTGCTAAATATGTAAAGACAAAGAAAACAAAGATCAGAGAAAAGTCCAAAATATTGATACAGATTTGTGTGGAAAAGCTTTATTTTTCGTTTTTCCTACCCCATTATTTTTCTCAGGACCCCTCAGATTTACCTCATGGCCCTTTGAAGGGGCCTGAACTCTAGGTTGGGCACCACTGACCTAAACAAACTAAATGTATGTGAAGTTGTTTTAAAACTAGTTTAAACTAATAATATTAATAAGAATGTGTCCTTTAGTGCAGGGGTTCTTAACGTTTTTGACCTCGGGGCCCAACTTTTCAAGTACAAAGTGTCCCGGGGCCCATTCAAATATTAACACTATTAGTTTAACTAATTGATCTCACTCTTGGTTTGATTTGTATTCAATAACTATATTGTTACCTGTTCAACTCCACCCCTATTTTGGAGCAAAAACCGCCTAAAATGACATACCCAAATTAAAATGGCTGTAGCTTCTGAACCACTCTGACTATATACATCAAAAGTGTCAGAAAACCTGTAGGTCATACAGAAACAGAGCAGTGGGCCTTTGGAGTCAGTAAAAATGGAAGATTTTTGTCCGCATAAAATAAAAAAGTATCTTTCAGTATAAATAACTACCTGTGGCTGTATCTGTACAGGTAAATGACATTATAGGGCTGTAACTACACTATCAGTGAACAACTGCCTCAAATTTGAAGAAGATTGGACAAAGTATGACGATTCTACAGCGTTTCTTCCATGAAGAGATCCAGGCGGAGCTCTAAAAGGATATTTGGAGACCCAAATGGACACATGGTAACCAAATGATATTCTGACATAGTAAAGGTGTTTCTCCCTTTATATTTTGATATTATATTATTTTCCTTTTATTTTTAGCCTTTGCAAATTGCAAAATCTCTATATATATATATTTGGTCGAAGACGTGGTATGTAAATAGCGGACTTACTGTGCGTAATGGCTGCGACTGAGCGAACAGTTGAGTTACGCAAGGTTATACGTTGGTTGACGGGTTATAGATGAGGAAGATAAGGTTTGTGCTTTAAGTACTAGCGTTTTCTGAAGCTACTAGCTCCATGGTAACATCCGCCAGGACATTGTTGGGTCTGTAATGTGTCTTTTTACGTAGAAATGCTGCAAGATCCGACTTGCAGCGGTTATGGCGACTTTGGACAGTGTGTGTTTGGGCTCCTTTTGTGAAAAATCCATAAGAAATGAAAGAAAATCGATGATTTCTTTGCAAAGATGAGGGTTTTGGGCATGCTGGGATACCAAACACGGCCATGTTTTGTGACGTAGTTTGCGCAAGCAAGCCGTAGGAACGGAACGGAAGGGGAGGGGATCGAGGACGCCGGCGTCCTCGATCCCCTCGCGGACGCCGCGAGGGGAGTTGAACAGGCAAAACCCTTGTCAAATAAATGAGATGATACAATGTGATGATCACAAAGACATTTATTTATCATGTGTATGTAAGCCTGCATACACAACAAGAAGCCCAACAGGCTTTCCCACGAGCGTTGGATGTTTCGTCGCTAGGTGTCGCTTTATTTTTGAAGGCTTCAGTGCTTCGTTTGATAGCATTAGCCCACATTCCACACACTGAAAGTGTTAAGAAAGTCAGGATTGTACTTGCGCACACATTTAGACTTTTGGGGGGGTATGGCACCATTGTCGTCTTCATTTTTTCTACCACTACAGTGTAGTGGTTAAATCGTGTAATGTTTATGATTCATTAAATGATTTAACA